AACTGTTTAACTCTAGGGGAGTTGGAAAATGAGCCTATTTTCAAAAATAGTGGAGTGTTCCTTTAATGCATTAAGAAAAAAAAAAAAACAATCAAAGCACTCTTCATAATTTCTTAATAATTATGAAAGTCTGGTTTGGCTTGAGGGTGAATAAATGATGACAATTTTTATTTTGGATGCCTAGTAGCCGGGACAACTTCTTTATGTTTACAGACGTGACGTAATGACGCAGTGCCATGCTCGAATTTCCTCGCAGTGCCATGTGCGAAAACCAACCCGTACCACTCAAATTAGAAAACATTATTATAAGCTAACCGTTGTGAATCGGGCTAAAGTAAGGCGATAGTTTTGAACACTGGCTGGGCATGTAATTGCTCAAATATTGATTTCGGATCATTTTTAACCAAAAAAAAGTTACGGACTGCAGCTTTAAAAAGAAAAGCTATGCTGGAAAATATAATGTTGCTCTATAGTGCAACATTGTACTTACTTTTGCTGATGCAATAATTTGATTTGCTTGTCTTTTGAAGAGGTTTTCAATAGTTTGGACCAGAATTTGTGGATCTGCGTTGGCAAGATGTGCCAGAGTCTTGTAACCAGCGTTATACAGCTGCTTAGCCCGATGCTGAATTAAAAGAGAATGAAAGAAGAAAAAATAAAATCACACAAATTGAGCTCTCCAGCAAATGTTCTGGTCATAGTTATTTTAGAGACACTGGCAGTCAAGATGAGCAGCAAGAACACACACCTCCATGACTCCAGCCACCTCCATGAGTGGAATGAGCTCGGCCTGCACACAGTAAGTCAATCTACGGGTCAGCTCTGAGAGAAGAGCCTTATAGGCCCAAAACTCCTCTAGCTCCTGAAATGGACAGATAAATCTCATAGTATTCCTATCTATTTATGAATGTAAGATAGGAACAGATGTAGATATGTCATCTGATATGTCTTAAATGATGCCTGGATGTGCCCTAACCTCAGTGAAGTGCAGCACGGAGGAGCCAAATGCGGAAGCTGAGCTGAGAAGAGTCTGTACGAAGCCTCTGGTCAGCTGGAATCTATCGGATACGTTCCACAGGTTTGTCTCCTTCAGAAGGGAGTACAGCACCAAAGCCAGATACAACCTATTCACTACCACAATGTCCACAGACTGAGACACGGGTAAGAGAAAACAGGAACAAAAACTATCATTGTGAAATCTAATTCTGATGAGGTTTCACTTTAAGTCACAGTAAACCTTTATTTTTCACCTCAGGAACTTAATAAGGGTTAAATGGTAATGCTGTAGATTTAGCATTAACACTCTGTAATCCTTTAAGAGGATAAGGATATTAGTGGGACTATATTCGAGACCCATTTAAATTTTTTTTACAACATTCTTGCTAATGATTTTTTTCCCCAGCAGTTTTAGGCTTATTATACCTATTATACCTACCTAAACAAACAAAAAGTTGTGAATTACTAGTATGGTATTCTGCAATATGAAAGAAATGCTGTTCTGCCAACCTTCCTCACGCTCTGTCCCGCTGCCATTCTAGCCACAAAACTTTCAGGCACTCCGACTGCAGTGGCCATCTTCTGCTCAGCAGGTGACAAATTTGTAAACTGGTACAATGAAACATTTGAGGTATGAATACACGGCTGAGACTAAAGTAGAGGATATCACTGACATTAATAAAAAAAAAAAATTACATACAAACACTGTTGCCTTAAAATACAGCCTTAAAAGTGGTTTAGTTAGTAATATACACTACTGTTCAAAGTTTGGGGTCATTAAGATTTTTTCTTAAGAAATTAAAACTTTTATTCAGCAAGGATGCATTGAATTGATGACAGTGAGAGTAAAGACATTTATAATGTTACATTTTTTTTTTACTTTCTATTCATCAAAGAACCAGCCTTGGTGAACATAAGAGGATTCTTTCAAAAACATTTTAAATATCTTACCAAGCCCGAACATTGGAACGGTAGTGTATCACTAAAATAGGTTTAACCTGACGAAAGCATCCCACCTGCCTGAAGTAGATCATCCAATCTGGCTTGCATTGATGCACCATGTCATATGGAGTGACCAGATAAACTAAGTGAAGAAAACTATTGAGGAGTAAACCCTCCAGCCCCTTTGATAAGTCTCGGTAAAGCAGATCACAGCAGCTTAGGTCTACTGAACCTAAAACAACAAGTACCAATTTAAATGGAAACATTACAAAAAGGAGGCTCTGAAAAACCAATGATAATAAAAAGAGAGGCTAGAAATGTTTCTCTTTGCTAATGTATCATTTTTAAACTGGGTCATATTGCCACCATGTGGTAAATGAGTAAATATATCGAATCATTTCTTACTCATCGAAACATTACATTATTCAAATCCTCATGCCATGTTTGGTTTTACCTTTGAAAGTTGCTCTCCCAAGCCTGGTGATTTGGAGAATGGTTTGATTGTTTACATCAGCAGAGACCTCGATGAGGCTCTTCTGCTTCAGTGTCTCTATGGACTCGACTGTAAGATCCCACAAACTCCTCTCTGGACTGACCTGAGCCTCCTGCACACTAAGCAGTGTGCCTTTCATGAAATCCCTCACTTGTTCTACAGTTGTAGTTATCTAAAATCAAATGAAACACATTAGTGTTTGTACTTCTAGACTAGACATAATTTCTCTTGTATCATTGCATCAAAACATTTCACATACTTTTAGCCCGATGAGTGACAGGACGAGACTGAGGAGGCCCCTCCCTCCATCGTGCAGCAGGTTACTGTAACACTTCTCCATTGGTGCAGACAGTAGCTTTTTGGCCTGGGGAGTAAACAGTTGCATAATATGATATGATATATGATACGATATATGATATGATATTTAAAAATCTGTGTTCTTTACCATGTTTATATCTTTGTCCTGCAGGATCAGGATACTCTCACCCATGGCATCAATACCTGCTCGTCCTGCTCTGCCCACCATCTGTTTGTACTGACTTCTCTTTAAAAACTCTGCAGCTACATATGGGGACCGCAGAATCACCCTGAGAAGTAGCACATGCACATGATTAAGAAACCCCTTTCAATACTTAAACATATTTGATTTGACCACTTGTGCTTTCAGATGTATAGGCCTAGACAAACCTGCGTGCGGGAAGGTTGATGCCAGCGGCGAGAGTTGAGGTGCAGGTGAGGAGGCAGAGCACCCCTGAGGAATAGGCCTCTTCCACCAACTTCCTCTCATCACTGGTCAGGCCACTGTGGTGGTAGGCCAGGCCAAAGGGCACAGTCTTCTGTAGCACAGGACACAATGATCCATTCCCACTGTTCTTCAGTTCACTCAGAAGAGTGGCTTTCTCTGCCTCCTTGTGTTTCAGAAACTCCCTGGAAAAAAAGGAGAGGTTTAATTTCAAATGTCAATGAAAAAAAAAAATGTAAAAGCACTTTAAAGGGATAGTCCACCCAAAAATGAAAATTCTGAAAAGATGGTATTTTGAAGAATGGTAATCAAACAGTTTCAGGTGCCACTGAATTCCACAGTATTTTTTGTCCATGCTATGGTAGTCAATAAGACCCAAAACCATTAGGTTACCAACATTCTTCAAAA